TTTATAATTTTTTTAAATTATAATATTTTTTATAATTTATTCTAATCTCAAAATATAGTAGAAAGAAGCACAGTAAAAGTACGATGCAAAAAATCACAACAATTCCACATCGTAATAAAGTTATTATTTTACAGCTGTCTCCAAAACACCGTAAACCATGACGACATTAATTGTTGTTAGATAACAAACGTATTCGTGGTGCTAGGAACAGATAATATTTAAATATTATAATTTAATTATATACAAAAACTAAAATAAAAAATTCTCCAAGATGTTGATGACATTTCAAGTGCTAAAAGATCAGGCGAAGCACCTGAACAAAAGTATTTCAATCGATAATGCAGTATGCAAATTGCATTATCGTGTAACTTTTATGCTTTTGATGGCTTGCACGGTTCTGGTCACATCAAGACAATACATAGGAGAACATATTAAATGTATATTAGGACAAGGACCAGCGGTACCTCAACATGTTCTTGAGACTTTCTGCTTTTTCACCAGCACATACACAGCGGTAAGTCAATTAATAGTTATTTCACCGATAACACTTTAAAAAGATTATTTAATTCCAAGTCTAATATTTAAATAATTTTCTAATAATTTCCGAATAATAAATTATAAATGCTATTAAACTAAATAAAGTACTAAAACCATATACTATATGTGGTAAATCTCCTAACTTCGCCATTCGTGAAAAAATATTTATTAATTTATATAATTCCATGCAAGACATGATATGGAACTCTCAAATTGCATAGTCGTCAAGTTTCACAGCTTTTTACAGTAGAATAGTCTATCTTTTATATATTATTAATTTTAAAATTGTTTTGCTCTCCAAATGTGTAACCATCTGATTTTTCAACTATAATAAGATAAGAAGTTTGCATTTTTGAAAGTAGCCTTAAAGTAGCAATACTGCTCTATATAGCTTGATGCAATATTGATCAATTTATGTATTCTCACATGTTTCACAAATATAAATGATGAGGATACCTACTTAAACGAGACTAATAAAATGATATATCAATAAAAATAATTAACTAGTGGTGTGTATCGTGTCTTAAGTCAAATTGCTGGAACTTCCCGTACCATAACAAGATGTTCGAGGAATATTAAATGTTTTCACATAGATTATTATAAATAAATACTGTAATATTTATAAGAATTATATAAACTGAATTGAAAAGTTGAAAATATTTGTTTAAAGTATATTAGAACTTAAGTCAGAATTACAATTAAAATCTGAATTATTTTCGATATACAAAAAAATATTTTTTGAAAAAAAAATTGAAAAAAAAATTGAAACAATTTTTTTTCCTAAAAGCAATAATTTTGTTAAACGAAGCAGAAAGTTCTTTTAATCATTCAAATGGGACGCTTAGTTCTCTCAAAAACTGGACCTGCGTTTGCCAAAAACTAATCAGTACCTATCAATAGGAATCAAATGTTTTTTGAACCATTCAAATCGGTTGATACGTGCGCCCGAAAACGTGGACAAAAAATTGTATCCATACATGCATACATACACACACACATCCATTTTTTCTGAGGTATGCTAAAATGTTCAGAAACCTTGAAAACGTGAAGAAATGTAAAACTTTCAATTTCGATATTTTTGGACGATTACAATAACTTACCCTACGGGAAGTTAATAATGATTAATGTAATTTATGAAGTGTCAATAAACCGTTAATAGGGCCGATAAAGCTAATATTAAAAAAAGCAACTATTTTTTGAAGATCCACGCATACAGTGGGTGATAATAAGATTTTCTTGATGGTTAATCGTTTCTTTTCTATGGGCATTCTAAACATACTTTAAACATTTGTATTACAGAATTCACATTCACTTCTATAAAGTCACGTAATTTGTTTTGCTATTTCAAAATTGTTCATCCTGATAATGAGTATTGTGGTTACCTATTCAATTTGTCTTATGATTCACAAAATAGACAATAGAATTTTCAAAACTAGCAGAAGCATTTCTACATTATTGATAATAAATTCGATAACTATTGCTCAAATTCACAGAATTTTTTGATATCATTGTTTTTACGATGATAAAATAAAATATCGATCAAAAACTGATCAATAACACTATTTATGAGTCAAAAACGCAAATGTAGTCTCTCAACCGAAGTTAATAAACTAAAAATATGTGGCCCAGCAAGGGCTAACATTTGTTTTTTGAATATCTTACTTTGCTTGATTCTGAATCCTCAGGTTGAAACTCTCGCTTACATTATTATATCTCATTATAACTTTATTAATATTAACATATCCATGATTGAAGAAGCAAAATAATATTATTGATAAAAAAAATAATTCATCAATAAATAATTGATTTATTCCAATCATGAGAAAATAAACCGTTGCTAATAGAACTACTTAATTTTATAAAAAATGCAACTTCTTTTCCCTCAAAGTCAATGCCCCAAAATTTGTGACTCACCTGTCTGATCGTGCAAAGTCCAACAGGAAGCAGAACAAATTTTTGTGTATGTAACATTTTGTTCGAATTCCGCATACCCAGCATGGGAATCACGTTGAAAATTCTCGGAATGGACGGTTACCTGGAAAAAATGAAAGTGATGCAATAGGTATAAGATATGAACAAGGTAGAAAAAGGTGTCTTTATGAGCTGTGCTTGCCAATGTAGGGGAGTTCAATAAAAAAAAAAATATAGTTCCAACTAGTTATAATACAATAATTCTTGATTAGTGAACAACCAGGTGAACACTTGCGTTTAGAAGTATTGTAAATTCTGCAACTAAAGTGATAAAACTACTTCGATCGTCATAATGAAGGCGCATAATGCTAAAAGCTCTAAAGCCGTTCCGAAGATATGGGGCAAAAAATGCCAAAACCGGTAACTCAGTTTTTAAGAGAACGGAGCGTCCGATTTGAATAATTCAGAAAACATTTTACTTGTATTAACAAGATGAAGAACTGATCAAATTTTAATGAAGGCAGGTCTAGCGGTTTCGGAGATTTAGTAAAAATAGTAAAAATAAATGCTATCTGGTGGTCAAAAATGATCATTAGACATATGCACATCAAATTATTAGATATTTTATAGAGATTTTAGCAATAAGTATAAATTTTGTTTGCATTCCTATAGGTTCCGTACCAATGCTTATCCGTTAGACGGTGGCGCGGCGCTTACGCGCTTCGATATTTCGTCTCTATGCAGTTAAAGCAGTACGATTGCTTTGAAAAAAGTTCAGAATTTCCAAAATATTTCAAAATACACTTTTCTTCAAGAAGTCTTTTTTTTTCAAAAAAAAGTAAGTTTTTGTCAAAAATTTAGTTTCTAAAAAATCTAATTTTTCAAAATTCTAATTTTTTTTTTCAAAAATGTTAATCTTTTTAAAAAAAAATAATTTTTGGTTCCAGCAATTTGCCTTAAGACACGATGCCATGCGCCCCACTAGTTGATAAATTTTAAATTGTAGCGCAATTTTGGAATTGTTGATATTATTTTCTAAGCAATAATTTAATGATAAGTAAGACAAAAATATATTTCTGCTAATTAACTTAATAGTGATAAAATTTGCAGAGGAAATGCAATGAGTAATATAAAATACATGATTATGTACACGTACTTATCTGATGGTTTGTTAGAAAAAATGCACTCGGAAAATTGAATTAATCATTCATTTAATATTACGTCATTTCTATATTTATTGTGAGTAACAAAAAAATCTTTCATCGTTTTTTTGCAAAATGCAGACCTTTTCCATTCGACAGTATTGTGGTTGATCACTTCTGAAACACATGTAATAATAGTGCTTCTAGTTTTTATACTAAGAAAAAGGGTTATTTTTAGAATCACGTCTGTGAACAGATGTCACACATATTGTACAGTATTTCTATCATTTTATGAGGCAATGTGTCTCTGAAACTTATGACAGATAATTCAAAAACTTCATAAGATGTTCGGAAGAATGCCGAGAAACATCAAACTAATAAATAATATAAAAAAAATATGTTTATTGTTAGTTAATTTTATTCATATTATCAACTCAATTTTTCATAAACCTTTTGCTACCAAATGTCGCAACACAAAACAATCGTTTTGTTTAAACAATATGATTTTAAATCTGGTGCCAAATATAGGCATCTGTATCATCTTATCAAGTGGCAACCTACATTTGATCTGCCAATTTTGGCCATCTAATAGAAATTTTCTAAGAATTAGCGATGTACCAGGAACGTAATGTTTTATAATTGCAAATTGCACACGTGAATAGAAGAAGATTGATGCACATCTGTTGTTCTTTCGATGCAAACGAAGCAAAAACGTGCATCTCAAGTTCATCTTCATAGTTTATAGTCTGACCGACATGAATTAGATACACATATGGAGCATAATATGAAAATAATTATTACGTTTTAGGGGAGACTGGAGGTAATTGTTATAATAACGCATTTTGTAATACTTTTAATATGTTTTATCATCAAAAATTCTGAATTTAAGTTTATTTTTAGAATTTGTTTCCCGAATGGAGCAAACAGTTTCTAGGTATATAAATAGTAATAATTTAATAATTTAATAATAATTTAAATAATAAAATAATAATAAAAATTTAATAATTGAAAATAGTTTTGATTATGTCATAATCAGTGACACTCATAATCAGTATTTTAAATTTATATTATTATTTATGTATGATGAATGTTCAGAAAAAAGTGGCGTTAAAAATCTAAAAAGCCTTTCTGAGATATGTCGTTGACTTCCGAGATAAATTTAAAATTGCCAAAAATGATTATTCGTCTTAGTCACATTGTATTATTAAAAACTATTTCTAATGCATAGTTTTCATCAAAATTAACACTTACGGGACGGCACCCATTTCAAAACAATCTACTGTATCGGCTGTAAACTTGATTTCATTGTGTATGTTTTGCAATTTGTTTGATAAAAATTTGTGAACATTGAAGGACATACATTTATAATATTAATTTATTTTTGATCATTTATTTTTAATGCATAGCTGGTTAATTTTGACATGTTTTACAATAAAATGTTGTTCGCCGCTTCCTCCTAGTGCTTTTCTGTCAGAACAAACAATACAATCCCTTTTTCTTTCTCTCGCATTTAGAATATGACTCTGATTAGTCAGTATTTTTGTTCATTTTTGTGCTGCTATAATGGTTTGTTTTTTCTATTATATTGTCTAATAATTCATTTGTGAAATATAAAGTAAAATAATCTATTGGATGTCTTATATTGCTTGGTATTTGTAGTCTGGGTGTTTGTTGATGTATGTAAAACTCGCTTATTATATGAGAAGCGGCACATTTGCTAATGTCTTTCCAATCTTCATTTAATTTGTCGAGCTTCTTCTTTTTGTTGGTTGGATAATATCATCATCACATTCATCACTATCTTTGATGCGAATAGTAATTTCGTAAAATTTGTCTGTATGAATGTCTATTTGAAACTCATCTTCACTACTGCTTATTTCACAAAATTTACCAGTCGTTTTGCCATATTTAAAAGCGCTCGATC